AGTTCGAGTTCACGTCCAAGGCTGGCTTGGAGTCTGCGGTTCGCGCAAACCCCAGCGTTGGCGCTAGGGTCCACGCGGCCGGCCTGGCGGCCAAGGAGAAGGGCCTCGGCAAGCAGACGTACCAGATGCAGAGCGCCGAGGAAGTGACCAGCACGACGGCCGAGCTCGTCCAATGGGGCAAGCTCGTCGACAAAGATCAATTCTTAACCCAGTTCGGCTTCGACCCGGAGACGCAGGACACCAAAGAGAGCAGCATCGAGGGCCGTTGCGGGACCAAAACGGGCTATTGCGTCGAGGACGTCGAGGCTGGGTGCCAGGTCCGCTTCAGCACGACGTTTCAGGTCAGTGGGGCGGCCACCGTGCCGCCAGTGCGTCAGGTTCGTGAGAACCAAGGTATGGGCGTCTTCAAGCGCGGCGCTTTCAAGGTGGTCGGGACCGAGGGCATGCAGGTCACGCCGTATTCCGCCAACGACCTGGATATTATCAAGCGGGAGTTCCTTGCCGAGCAGGGCCGCGCGGTGCAGGACATCGCAGCGGCCGACGCCCAGGCCGGGGCCCAGGGGGGGGGGGGCAAAGGGGGGGGAATCGAAGAAGGGATGAGGGGGCAGGAAGGAGGAGCTGGGAGGAGGGAGGAGGGAAGAGGTGGAGTGATCCAGTGGAGTGCGAGATCCAGGGGTCCATGACCCATGGGCCATGGAGCTCAGACTGGGCTCCAACCTCCATCGCCTCCTCCCTTCTCCTCCTCCTCGTCCTCGCCTGCCTCCGTCCTCCTCCTCCTCATCCTCCTTTCTTATCCTTTCACCCTCCTCCTCCTTCTCCTCCTCCTGTTACCTGTTGTTCCTCCCTCGGTCCTACCTCCTCCTTCCTACCTCCGCCGACCTCCTCTCTTGCCTTCTCCTACCTCCTCCTAGTCCTCCCTCATCTTTCTGTTGCATTTGCTGTGTTGCATTTGCTCCTCCATCCTCTCTGCTGCTGCCGCTTCTTCTTATTGTCCTCTCCCCCGTCGTTCCTCCCTCCCCCCTCCAGGCCCCCGATGGATCCGCCGTGGCCGACGAGGGGCCTATGGGGGTTGAAACCATGGAGGTGATGCTCGCCGACGAAAACGGGGACGAGGCTGCGGCGACCCCCAGGAAGAGCTCGGCGGGCCGCGGCCGCAAGGGGGAAGGTCGCGGGGGCACCGCCGCCGGCAGGAGGGGAAAGGGGGGCGGCAACGGCATGGGTCAACGACGGCGCCTGTCCCAGTTTCCGAAGGGGCAGACCTACGTCAAGAACGTCGCCGACGTCCGTAGCATCTTGAATGGCAGCTACACCCCCAACATGGACTTGTGCCAGCTGCGTCGGCTGATGAACACGCTGACTGGCGAGGATGGCAGGGTCTCCGACCCTGGGCTCTTCCAGCAGATGAAGACAGCATCGGAGCTCGCGGCGCACGCCGAGGAGATGGCGCCCAACAGGCTCATGCTGCTGGGCGACGCGACGCTCGAGGTCAGCCTCAAAGCGCTGAAGTCCAGCGGAGTGAAATTGCAGCTGGTGACGAAGAAGGGCTTGTGGCATCGCCAGATCGTCGCGGCCGTCAAGGACCTGAACTTCCAGAAGCTCACTCAGCTGTTCCTCGGCTCTTCCTCCAGCGGCGGCGACGAGGCGAGGGCTTGCCAAAATGAGCAGGAGGATCCGAAGGGTCAGATGAGGAGCAAGATGGGGCTGGGGCCCGGGGACAAGGGGGGAGGTTACGACGACGACGACGACGACGACGACGACGACGACGACGACCGACGGCCCCCTCCGCGGCGGGAGCACGAGCCCCAGAGAGGCAGGGGGCCGAGGCGGCAGGGCACCCTCCACTTCACTTCCTCCACTCCGGCTTCACTTTTTCCAGCCTCCGCCCACCCGCCATCCACTCGCCGCCCACCACCCGCCCACCAGTGGTGCGTGGGCCGCGTGGGGTGTGGGTGGTGGGCAGGTGGTGGGTGGTCGGTGGTGGGTGGGTGTTGGGTGGGTGGTCGGTTGTTGGTGGCTTGGTGGTGGGTGGTGGGTGGGTGGTGGGTGGGTGGTGGGTGGTGGGTGGGTGGGTGGTGGTGGCCCATCCCCACCGACCACCCACCGCCCACCCACCACCACCACCCACCACCACCCACCCACCCACCCACCTACCACCCACTGATTGGGAAATATTGCATACCTCACTCTGGGCGGACGTCGACCCTTTCGACAGTACGTGGCCTACCTTGATGCCGGAGGTCGAGATCCAGGACCGCGTCGAGTGTCTCTCGTACGTCATCGTCGACCTCGTACTCTTGCCAGTGGTGGTAGCGGGCAGCATGGAGGGCTACACCCGGAAGGTGCTGGCATGCTGCAAGGCCGTCCTGGATATTCTCGAGAACAACCAGGAGGAGGATCGTCTCCTCGAACCCTCCTCCTACTCAGTCCTACTCTACTCCTCCTCAGCCACTTGCCCTCCTCTACATTGACTCTTCTTTCCCGCCTGCACCTGCTCCGCTAGGATCTCGTCCAGATCAAGACGTGCTGCAGGGGCTTGGCTGCCATCCTCGACCCGCTGCCAGGTGCCTGCGGATCTGAGCCGGCGGACGTCGAGTACGTCTGGGCTGAGGAGGAGGAGGGGAGCCACCACGACGACCCTTCCAAGCACCAGAAGCGCATGACACTGCTCCGCAAAGCGATCACCGGGGACTCGACCGTCAAGACTCTCTATGCTCAGTGGGAAGCCTCCCTCTTGTTACCCGACCAGACCGGCGAGGTGGCCATCCTCAGGACAGCCGTGGACGCTCTCAAGGGTGACACCGCCGACGTGAGCAAGTTCCGAGATGTCTTCAAGTTGATGCCTAAGTTGCAGATGAACCTCCGCGATGGGGCCCTGCAGGACATCGAGACTGAGGTCATGTCCTGCGTGGCGGAGCGCGTCAAGAATATCCAGGGCATTGACCAGATGGATGGTGACCGCCAGGCGCGCTGCTTAGCAGAATTCTACCCCGACGCTAACGCGTGCATGATTGGGTGCAAGCCTGGTGCCTTCAAGACTTCTCTGAAGAAGGAGTTGGGCGTGCTCGCGCCATTGCAGGCGGCCTCGCAGTCCCTTCAAATGGTCGTTGCTCTCGACAACGCGTGCAAGAGGATTGAACGCGGCCCTGGGGGTGGAGTCGCCCTGGCGGATTCGGTCGATGAGCAGGGCAGCATCAACGATGACTGGGCCAACCTCTTGGAGGCCAGGAAGGCTTGCCACGGCCAGAAGATCCCACCGCTTGCTGGCGACGACGACCAGAGGAACATTTCGATCATAGCCTTCTACCGCCGTATTTGGGATATCATCCAGAGCCAACCATTCAGCGAGTGGCGCGGCCTCGACGCTTATGGGATCACTCTCGTCACGGACATCGGCGACATGCTTCCTCAAGAAGAGCGTGCCAATGGCTTCGACATGGCTTTCCAGATGGCCATCCGCATCGTCGAGATCCACTCCACCATGGTATTCCTGGAGGTGTGCGAGCCAGATGCCAAGAGCCAGGAGGTCCGCGTCCGGGGGTCCAAGCCCGAGTATAGTAGTACCAGAACGTTGCAAATGCGCTTCTGACGGGGCGGGGTAAGATGCTGACCGAGGGCCCTCAGAGCCTCAGGGCCTCAGGAGAGGAGGGGGGCGGATAAGGCGAGGGTCGGGCCAGCGAGTGGGGCCCCTGCCTCCTGAGGCCCTTGGGCCCCGGGGCCGCCGTCGTCATCGAGAATCGCGGCTGATCGTTTTTCACCCCGCACTCAGGTCGACAAGCTCGCGCGCATCCTGCCCGTCAAGGCCCCCGCCGAGGACGACGCAGAAACGATCCGCATGCTGAGGAGTCTGACTGATGGCCTACGTCAGGTGAGACTGGATGCCAACGACCTCCGCGTTCGCCTCATCTGCGAATTCTTAGCCACGGCTGTAACTAACATCGAGTCGAACCAGGCGACGCTCGCGAAGAACGCTTGCGGCGGCGAGAACGGTGCTTCATGGAAGCAGCCGTTGAACGCCACTTGAGCCATCGATGAGGTCCGCCAGGTGGGGTCCAAGTATCTCTTAAAGATTGACGGCCAGAAGCTGGTCGACGACTGGAAGAAGGGGCTGGAAGTCGTCAAGGCGGCCCAGAAGCTGGTGCAGAAGTACAAAGACGTTGATGGCGTGAAGGAGTCTAGGGCGTTGAAGGGCACCGACGAGGCGATCGAGCAGTGTTTCGTTGTGGTGAGGGTCGCCAGGGTCACGATCACGGAGGCGCAGCTGCTTAAGTGCGAGGGTGATCTTTCGAAGGAGGATACCAAGAAATGGGTGAAGCTCCTGGCGTCTTGCGGCGCAGATCCCTCATCCATGCGCCCAGCGTTGTACGCGATGCTGCAGAAGGTGCTCCAGGCCGCCGCCTGAACCTGCAATGCAGGCGATGCGTTCACGATGCTCTTTTTTTTGCTCGCTTCTTGATGCTTTCAGGTACTTGAGTCTTGAGTCGCTTGAGGCCGTGGTGGCGGCGATGAGTGAGCCATGTCGGCTCCGCTCTCTGAGTCTTAGACTCTGAGGCTCAGATCTTAAGTTTCTTTTCGCCAGGGCTAGCGAGTCAGGGCTGAGGCTCAGGCCCGATAGTGAGGAGAGGAGGGTCCTTCTTGACCCCGTAGGTTCGCTAGCCCCGATCGGGGCACCGCCACCTGGCCTCGGGACCGAAGCCTCCAGGACCCAGGAAGGACGAGGACGGGGAGGATGAGGAAGAGGACGCGGAGGAAGGAGGAACCAGCCAGTAAGTCAGAATCTGTTGGACTGTGGGGCCCGCGCGCCCTGCAGCTCAGCAGATGTTTCTGCGTGCAGTCTGGTCAGGTGCATGTCAGTTTGTTTGCCTGGGCCCAGGAGTCCCCCGTCACTTGGCCCTTCCTCACCCTCCTCTCGTCATCTTCCTGGTCCTACCTGCTCTTTCCCCTCCTTCTCCATCCGCCGTCCGATGTGAAGCCCAGTGCGACTCGTATTTCTCATGCTAGATCGTACTTTTCCTTCAGTTCCCTCCTCCCACTCCTTCCAACCATCTTCCCTCCTCATCCTCCTCCCAGTGCCTAGGTCCTAGGGCCCGAGGCCTCTCTCCTCCTTCGCCTCCTCCTCCCGGCCCCCCCCCCTCCTGAATTTTCCTTCCCCTTCTCCTCCTCCTCCTCCTTGATGCCGCGGGCCCCGGGCTTTTTGCGTGCGAGCGAGCATCTAGAGTCTGCGTTCTTTTCGTGCTAAGTATTTTTGTCCAACCTTCTATTCTGCCATCCCCCTGCCCTATGATAGGGGCCCTATGCCGCTCCTCTCCATTCTCTGTTCCATCCCGTCCCCAATGACCAACGCCGATGGTGCTGGATTTTTGTTACTGCTCTGCAGCCTCGGGCCCCGGCCCCCAGAGGAGCAGAGGAGCAGTTGATGTGGTTCTCGAGTTGGGGGTGATGGCAGTCTGGGAGGGTTTACGACGAGGGGGGCAGCTGGCCAGCTGGGTATATGGCGTGGCTACTGCTGCGGTAACATCGAGGATGGATTTGGGTGGGGGAGAACCGCGAATTTTGACAGCCAGGAGAGAGTGGACAGCGAATGAAAGCTCCACGCATGGCAGCCAGGCAGTTGCTGGCTACAGTGTTCCTGTTACTACTAACATGTGCGCGCCGGAACCAACGTAAAATGATGTCCGCTTGTAGTAGCTGCTCCTTCCTACCTCCCTCCTGCTGCCGCTGAGACTCTCTGTCTTCTCATCTCAGACTTCTTTCCTCCTCCTCCTTCCGACACTTTCCAGGCTCGAACCGCAGGTGAGCCAGGTGTGCGCCCCCCGCCGCACGCGACGCGCCAGGCCGAGCACCGCCCGTCCCTCCTGCGAGGTTGACGGGTGTATGCCATCCCGCGATGGCAGGGCGAGCAGCGGCCTTCGGTCGCGCTCCCCTCGTCGCCCTCCCCTGCTGCGGCTTCGTGGCTCTCTTAGCTCTCTTCAGCTCTCGGAATCGGCTGTCGCAATACATATCGCAATGCATAGCTCCCGGCTGGGGGTGGACGACCCCGCAGCTATCCGAATCGAACCTTTCCTCAACCATGCCTACGGCGTCCACGATGTCGCTCGCCGCCTTCGAGCCCTTCAACATGCCGAAGACGACGAGCGACGCGCTCGTGTCGAGGCAGGGCCCTGCCCTTCGCACTTCCAGCGGTGCATGGACCACATGGGTCAGGCAGTGGCGTTGGCCGCAGCCCTGGTTTCCGCAAGGGCCGACTTCCTGCAGTTCACAGGCCAACGCATCAACTTCGCCAGGGGCGCTCTTGGGGACCTGCTCCGCGATGGCCCACACGTCGTTCCGCCGCCTGAAGATCTTGGCGTCGCTCCGTGGCCTCAAGATCCTAGGTGCGTTCGGACCCAGGACTGCGCGACCATCCTGCGCACCTTCATGGACGTCCTTGGCATCGACCAGCCAGAAGTCGGGGATCCACCTCTGTCGGAAGAACGCGTTCGAGAAGCTGGATTTGCGGCAGGCGGCAGAGGCAGCGTGCAAGACAACACCCAGGCCAACCCCTTTGTTTGGCAGTGATCAGCACAGGCCCGACGGGCCCGACTTCATGTACTCCGAGGGCCTCTACAACCGGCCCGCGTTGCTCTCGTGCGACGCGGAGGGCCTGGCCAGTCAGCCAGGCACGGCCACCGCGCGCTGGTCCTCCAGCCACCCGTGGGCGGCTGCTGGAGGGCCCGCTGGTGCGCGCCGTCAAGTGCGCCAGCTCCGCGCCGTGAGCCGGCGAGCTCTTTTCGCATCCAGTTTTGCTTTCTATGCCCGCTTGCTTGCAGTCTTTATTGTAGTATTCGGGTATCACAAGTCACCGCGGGCTTCTAAGGGACAGCCTAGGTCTCGCTCGCCGCGCCAGTGTCGTGGCAGCTCGGACCGCGATGCTCGCAGGCCCGATCGCAGCAGGCGGTCTCGTGATGGCCCTTCGGGCGACTCTGACGGCGACCTGCCTGCTGATGAGTCAGGTCGCACAACTCAGCCCAGTTCAGAATTTGGTCACAGCACGCTCTTCGTTTGCGCCCCGCAGCGATCCCTCCAGTGGTTCACTATACAGATCCCGCGGCGAGGGCTCCGCGTCTGCGACGTCGTAGACTGCGTTCGTAGGGATCACTTCCCAGACCTGCGCGACAAAGAAGCAGGACTCTTTACCTTCGTGGCGCCGCCGCCTGGCTGCGTCGGCCCCGCTACAGGACCTCCTGCCAGCATGCGCTTGCCCAATCACCCTCGCATCTGTGCAGGGCCGAAGTTGAGCGATCGATTATTTTCTCTCTGGATCGGGTTTCCTGAACCATCTCGCATGATGGAGGGGGCCGCTGAGTTTCTCTGTCGCTCAAGCGCTCCAGCTGCGCCAGCAGGCCCAGTGCGCGCTCCAGATGCGCCGGGGCCGCCAGGGCCGCCAGCAGGCTCAGCAGGCCCAGTGCAGCACCCGTCCTCCAATGCAGGAGGCCCAGCGCAGCGCCCGTCCCCCAGTGCAGCAGGCCGGGGCCCAGTGCAGCACCCGCCCTCCAGTGCGGCTAACTCCCATGCCTCATAGGCCCACGTTTTCCCAGGCTCTATTTCTGGGGCCGCCGCCAAAAGCAGGGGCCCTCCGCCGCCTTTTAAGCCTTTGCCGCTCATACTGCCACCTTTACCCTTGGCACCCTTAAGGCCCTTAGGGCCCCCAGTGGCTGCCGCAGTGGCTTCGGCCCCAGTCTTCTCGGGTCATGCGGGCCACGCCGCGCACTTTAATCCTCTGCCACAGTTTGCTGCTTGTGAGCCCCCAGCCTCAGGGCCGCCGCCAAGTCAGCAGCCGCCAACGCCAGAGTCTGCAGAGTCTGCAGTGCTTGCAGAGGAGTCAGGCAACTCGTCGCGCGCGTCTTCTGCCCCGCGCGAGGGCCGCAAGGAGGGCCGCAAGGATCGCGACGAGCGTGCAAGGCGCCCCGCCGGCAGAGCCAGGTCCAGGTCAGCCAGGTCCCCCAGCCCAGTCAGAGTCAAGGGCCAGAGTGATCGAGAGTATCGCGTCGCCCGTGCCGAGCATCACCTAGCCATGTCCCAGGCGTCCGGCAGCAATCAGTCGAGCCTCCGCCGCCGCCACCGCGAGGATCCCAGGCAAGATCCCCCGCCCAAGGAGGTAAGTGGAGACAGGGCCCGCAAGTCGCCAGGCCGCGCGTGGGGCTCCCACGATGACTGGAGGAAGTTCGAGGCGCAGACTCAGGCCAGGGCCAGGACTGAGGAGCCTCGGGAGCGTCGCCGCGAGCGAGACCGAAGGCGGCCCTCGCCCTCACCTGCGCGGCACGTTTCTCGAAGCGCGGCTCGAGGGCCTCGAGGGCCTTGCCGCCTCATCTCGGTCAGCCGTTGCACGTCGCAGCCTGCTGCCTCATCTAGGTCTAGGTCGAGGCTGAGGCCCTCGAGGCGCGGCACGTCTCCCCGGGAAGCTCGCCGCCCTGCAGCAGCCGAACGGTCGGCCAGCCCGCCTGCGCTCCGGCGCAGACGCCGTGCCCCGACCCACGACAATGCTGCCGCACAGCCTGAGGAGGAGGCGCCCAAGTCAGCTCCTCAGGAGGGGCCTCAGCCCCTGAAGGCTGAGGCTGAGAAGACCCGTCCTCTTATGCCGCCGCCCGCATCTGTGGGGCCGCCAAAATGCACGACGTGCAAACGTCAACGTTGGCCAGTATTTAGGTGCAACAGTTGCAAATACCATTGCAGCGAGTGCAGGCCTTCCAAGCCGACTTGCAGCGACTGTCATAACACCACGTGGGATGGAGTGTGGCGCGGCAGGCGCTTTCTCGCGGCAGGCCAAGGTTTCATGTGCACGGGTTGCTGGATCGCCGAGAGCATCAGTTGCGAGGAGCAGGAATTGTGGATCACATGGTGCGCGAAGCGCGCCGAGCAGTATCCTGACGTCTTCGCTGATCCGATGACATTTCTCGAGGAGGCCGAGCCTGCAGGGCCTGCGCCAGGAACTCCAATAACTAAGACTTAGCGCGCCAGCAGCTTCGCCATGCACAGTTCAGCGCCCGGGGCCCAGTGTTGCCAGCAGTGTGGCGCCCAGCGATTCCATCAGCTTGGTGCCCAGCAGCTTGGCGCCCAGCGATGCCAGCAGCGCCGTTTTGGTGCCCAGCAGTTCGTCGGCTCGGGGCCGCAGGTGGGGGCAGCGCCGTAGGGCCTAGACGACGGACGACGACGACGACGCACGACGACGACGACGACGGTGACGACGACGACGACGGACGACGACGACGGCGAGACGACGATGCTGCATCTGGAACCTGGCGCCGCTAGTTGTTGGTGGCTCGATGCAGCGGGCTTCTCCTCGGTCCGCGGTCCTTCCGAGTGCAGGCGCTACCAGACAATGCAGCGCAGCGCAGCAGCGCAGCAGCGCGCAGCACAGCGCAGACCCTACCAGACACAGTGCAGACCCTACCAGACAGCACCGCAGCACAGGGCCTGGCACAGCGGTCTAGGAGTCTAGGACTCCAGGTCCAGGTCAGCTTAGCGCGCCATTTTGGCTGCGGTCTAGGCTGGCTCGCCTTTCCTGCGCGCCGCACGCTAGGTGCTCGGCTCGCTTTTAACAGGCCCCCTCGTCGTGGGCCGCCCCCAATCGCACTCCCTTTGTGCCCCAGTTACTCTTCCCCAAACGCCTAGCTCTTTACGACGACTGACGACAACGACAAGGACGACGAAGACGACGACTGTCGACGATCTGCCTCCTCTCAGGGCTCTGCCCATCTCATTCCTTTTAGCGTGAACTTCACGCCCGCGTCGAACAAAAATGACGAGCGTGCCATCCATCCATCCCCTTCGGGTCTTCTGTTCCGTTCTGTTCCACTCCCTTCTCCTTCACTCGTCCCACTCTCCTCTCATCCTCTTCTCTCCCTCCTCTCCACGTCCCATTCGCGAGCCCCTGGAAGAGGGTATGGAGAGTGAGGGTGAGGATTCGGATGCTGAGGAGGAGGGGGGCCAGGCGGCCAGGAGGAGGAGGAGGAGGAAGGCTGGTCTCAGCATCGAGACGGGGTAAGAGGAGGAGGGAGGGAGGGAGGGAGGGAGGGAGAGAGGAGGAGGGAGGGAGGAGGAGGGAGGTTCAGACAGAGCGTCCTCGCCCCCCCTCCCCTCCCCTCTTTCGTCGCCCCCTTATTATCTTGTCCTGCTCCCCTTGGTCTATCATCTCATCTCCGCCCTTGTCTTGACTACTATTCTAACACAAACTAACACTATTCTACCACACATTAACACTCACTAATACAATAACATCCACCACCCACACGGCTACACCACCAAACCAACACACATGATGACGACAACACCGAACCTCATATCTCGTACATACCATTCTACCACAAGTTCAGCAATATTGATTTTGATATCAAATTACACAACGTCGAAATCACACAACGTCGAAATCACACAAAGTCGAGATCATTGACAAATCACACAACGTCGAAATCTATATGTCTAGACAAGTGTACAACTCCGAAATCTATATGTCTACACAAGCGCACAACTCCTGAATCGACATACGTCGCAACAATTTAATGGATGATGGCCAGGCAACTTAAGCAGGAGCCAACCACCTCAATCTTGGAGGGCCTGGGGGGGTCTGGGGACGATGTTTTGGAGGGTTCTCCCACGGGGGAGGTCTGAAATGGCTTGTCTTGGAGGGTCCAGACCCCCTCCCTTTTATTACGAAATCTGGAGTATTTATTTCTGTGTCCCAGGGCCCCTTGACTTGTCCCTGCGCGTCCTATCGGCTCCCCCGAGGGCCGCGGCTCGAGGAGCTTCCTCGGGCGCCTCCTCTGCCTCTCGGCCCAGGCCGGCGGAGAGACGGCCCGCGCCGCCACGGCGGGGCTCCTGCGCGAGGCCCTGGCCAGAGCGCGCCCCTTCGAAGAAGAAGCAGCTCGGAGGAGGAGGAGGGAGGAGGGAGGAGGGAGGAGGGAGGAGGAGGGAGGAGGGAGGAGGGAGGAGGAGGAAGGAGGAAGGAGGGAGGGGAGGAGGAGGTAGGAGGAGGAGGAGGAGGAGGAAGGAGGAGGAGGAGGAGGAGGAGGAGAGGAGGAGGAGGTGAGGAGGAGGAGGAGGGGGAGGAGGAGGAGAGGGAGTGAGGAGGGAGGAGGAGGCGGAGGAGAGGCGAGAAGGGTGAGGGAGGAGGGGAGGAGGAGGGAGGAGGAGGAGGAGGAGGAGGGGCTGAGGGAGGAGGAGGAGGTGGAGGAGGAGGTGAGGAGGAGCCTTTTTTAGACTCTGGCAAGTTTACTTGCATGGACGGGGGGGGGGGGGGGGGGCTGAGCCTGTGCGGCTGAGGACTGTGAAGCAAGCCCGGGGGGGGGAGCGCGGAAATCACGCAAGTCGAAAGGCACTTGCACGCTAGTATTCGCTTGAGAGGGGCGAGGGGGGGGGGGGGGGCGAACGCCATGCAAGTAACACTTGCCGGAATCCCCCAAAAACAGGCTCCTATCGGCTCCCCCGAGGGCCGCAGCTCGAGGAGCTTCCTCGGGCGCCTTCTCTGCCTCTCGGCCTGGGCCGGCGGAGAGACGGCCCGCGCCGCCGCGGCGGGGCCCCTGCGCGAGACCCTGGCCAGAGCGCACCCCTTCGGAGAAGAAGCAGCTCGGAGGGGAGAGGGAGGCAGGGAGGAGGGAGGAAGGGAGGAAGGAGGGTGAGGAGG